TGTCCGTCTGTCTGTCCGTTACTGCTTGCTCTAAGGCAAGAGATGAAGGTGGCAGTGCGTGTGATGGAGGGTGCGGGAGGGGGCTTTGAGAATTGCAATTAAATGCCAGGTAGCGACGTGTCCTAATACAGGCATCCCCCGCGTTACGGAAGTCCGGGTTACGGAATTTCGCTTTTACAGAATTTGTAAATTATGACCAATAATTTCGCGTTACGGCCCGTAAATCCACCCTTACTGAAATTGGGGTAAATTTTAACAATTAAAAAAAAATCACTATAAAATTATAATTTTTTGTTAAGTGATAATTTGTTTGGTGTGGTTTTCGTGGTGTTTGTTACCGCCAAGCATGGCATCGCCACGAAGAGTCAGTCCATTGTTTACATCCAGTGTGCGCGCATGTTTCTCGCCTCAGTAGTTGGATTTAACTTTTACAAACATACAGTAAGTACAGTACAGTGCATTACCCTTATTCAAGATGACTGGAAAGAGGCCAAGTAGAAGTGACTGCAGTAGTGCAAAAAGAAGCCGCAAAGGCATTACATTTGATATTAAACTTGATGTTTTAAGAAGGTATATCATAAATTATTTAATGTACTGTACAGTATTGTATGTGTTTATAAATGTTTATTTGCATTCATAAAAGTGCCTGAATTACTTTTTGGGGGCCGAAAAAATTCCTTAGGAACGCATCTCCAGTTTTATAATGGAAGTCAATGGGAAAATAGGTTTCGCGTTACAGAATTTCGCGATAATGTCAATTTTCCAGGGACGGAACCCTTCCGTAACGCGGGGATGCCTGTATATAGTATATATATTTTTCATAGTATCCATTCATTTCAATGCATCCTGGTGTATTGTGTACAACAGTATGCTGACCTAAGCCATACAAATTAATTTCTTATATATGGACTGTAGAGCAGGGACAAGGGAATAAGGATTATAATTAGAAAAATGCATGGAATGGTTTGGGAAGTGGTGATAGTGAAAACAGGAATGAGAATGACATCATGATGAAAGACAATAATATGGATTTCAATAATTGTGACAAAGTCAAGGCAGGAGTACTGAGAAGGCCTGGACAGCTAAATGGATGAGAAGGAAGGAGAATCAAAGTGAAATGGAAGTAGAGTGAGGGAGACCGATAAGTAGGAGGGAAGTGCGTCATATCTTAAAAGAGTTGTATTAGGAGTGGAAGGCACACCTCCTCAATTCAGTTGCCTCTCCTTTGAAAATTTGGCTGTCTTGTCTTCATCTGGCTCGAAGAGAATTTTTGGATGTAACCAACTGAGCTATCATCCGCACCAATTTCAGCGTGTGAGGTCGGATTGGACAGGTTTCACCAACAAGGCAATTTATCACCGACTCATGAACGTAGTACCTGTAAATATATACAAAAAAGATAAGGAAATACTAAACAGTACAAAGGAAAAAGCATCTATGATAACCTTATTGTATAAAGAACAGTACCGTACTGTATACAGAAGATGTTATATAAATGCACAATGAAGCAAGTTTTCAAGATTGAACATATTTTTATAGCTAAATATTGGTTTTATACTTGTACCAGTATGTACCCATTTCTGATTTTTTTTAATTGTATATAAATCAGATTCTACTGCAACTAACCTTAGCTGAAAATGTATACAGTATGCTGATCTATTATGTCTCCTACTTAATGAACAGAGGATGCTATACATAACATACAGGGTGATAATAAATGATTACCCTAAAAACAGTATGCTCTCATACTTTAATCAGGGTAATCATTTATGGACACCCTGTAATTATTATCAGCACTGCATCAGACACCTAAAAGTTAATCCTTACTATACAAATTTGGTAGAGCATACATAAATAATAAAAAGACACAAGGTTCTCATACCGTAATTCTTCTGCATAATTTGTAGAACAAAATTGAAGTGCTCGTGGACTGTGGTGGAGGAGTGTGGCCAAAACACTGCAGTACTGATGGATAAGTACAGCATCACTGGGTTCACAACCACGCTCTGGTTGCAGAAGTACCAGCAGCTGTGGTACACTGTGTGACAGCCACCCCTCTACTGGTACATGCTGAAGGATGAGTTTATGTAGTATTAGGAAAAATTTTCCCAGTAAAACTCCTCCAAATGCACTCAACAATTGTGCCAGGCAGTAACAAAACTTTTTCTTGTTTTAAATCTCTTATTACTTATTAAAATAATAAAGTAAATTCAATGCAGAAAAGCCTTCTTATTTGCACATATAAACCAGTAAACACTGAAGTTTCTTTTTTAATTATGTCGGAGTAAGTTGCAAGACATCTTTGTTGTAATGCTTTGTACAGGGACAAGGACATGTGACAAGCTATCTAAACTGATATGTTGTGATTGCTGGACTTTGTCAGGCTACAGCCAGTTAGAGGAAATACCACCTTAAAAAAAGCGAGTTATTGCTAGGTATAAGCTCGGCGTCGCATTCTGGACTATATCACAAAAACTGTTTTTAGAAAAAATGGCTTTTTTAAATACAGTACAGGTATCTTATTTCTTATCAAGTAATAAAACAAGCTTAACAAAGCCTTATTTATGCCTAGAAATATGACATACTAAACAAATATAATTAAACACTTAAAGAAATGGTAAGAGTAAATTGTTTGTAGGGAATGGTTGAAGTTGTGACAGTGGGACGCAAATTTTCAAAACATTAACTCGAAATGACATTTTAAATTGGAACTTCTTCCCTGACATGTCAGCAATGGTGAAGGAATGATATAATTAGAGGATTTACTGAATAGTATTTAGCAATATTCTTTTTGTTCTTACTGCCACACCTATAGAACTTCTATTTGTGAGACATCCCACATTATACACCACTTCCTTACCTGAAGCAGAGTAGTTATGCTGGGCATGACATCATCGTTATGAGGCTGGGCCCCACACACCCAGGAGAACTCGCTGACAGATCCCAGCAGTTCATAGAGAGCACTTGTACTCATGTGTGTCACCTCTTGTACTAGTTTTAGAAGCTAAAAAAAGAATATTTGCATAAAGTTAATTAAACTACAGCATTCAATAATTTGATAATCGCAAAAACTCTTTTTAAGATACATACAGTGCTGTACAGTGAATGCCCCCCCCCCCCAAATCATTAATGTGTAACCGAGAAAGTTTCTGGCAAATTTTCTTTATTATTAAATTTGAAACAGGAACGTGGTGTGAAATTCCATTTTATCCTTACATAACTATGGGGTGGAGACAAGCAAGCTACAAGGAAACTCCATTAGCTCCTTCTACCAGTGTTCACCATGGTCAGGGCATTTGAAATTATTAGGCAGCAGGGTATGCTGCCCAATGTATACAACATACAATACTGTATAACAGCTATATAGTACTTGTCCAGTGAACTAAATTCAATATCATGCTTCAATTCTCTAGCCTGGTAAATGCTTCTAAAGCCACCAAGGATTCAGATTCAACAGACTAAACTCTAAAATAGGTTCACCTACCAAGTCAAGCCACTTAAATTTTCTAAATCAGTGGTCACTCTTCTCACTCATATTGAAAAGATTTGTCAATGTTAATCCTGGTTCTCCAACTCTAATGTAAACTCGCCACAAAAAGTTTTCGAACACTCTAAGGGTCATGCAATATAACAAAACGAACAAGAAATCTTAATGCTCTCTGAGGAAGTTTTATTGCAAAATAAATGACTTCTTCTCACCAATAAATTCTATAAAATGAGCAACATATATTATTTTAAAGTATTGAGAGTCACTTCGCAACCAGACATACCATCCATTCTGAGACGACATTCTGAATTCTGTTGTGCCCAGCTGTTCAAGAACAGTTTAGAACTCCACGAAAGAAAAAGGGAGGGAACCAGGCCACTTGTCTCCTCCCCTCTGCCCTTAGGTAATGTGCATAACTCTCACCAATACAGTATGTCAAGGGTTCGAGCCTCAGCCTGGACACACTTGAGAAGGGTGTTATCCAGTGCGACCCAACCAAACATCACAGGTTTCCCAGTCCCCAGTTTCTTCCTGTACTAACACTGGATAGACCGCCCAAACGACTAGTAAGCTGATAAGTGGCAAAAATTATATTAAAAAAAAAATCATGCTTAAATCCTCTACTTATGATAATAGAGGCCTTGGTGAATGACCAACTGAGATTATCAGTACAGTCAATGACACAGGGTAGGATAATTCAAGAATTTGAAGCAGCAATCAAATAAATGATACAACTCTTATAAAACAGCCTTCTCACCCAGTTACATCATCAGTCAGAGAAGATATCCAGCACGAAGTCAAATTTTATATTATTACGTACTGGATTTAGAATTTTACCCTAACAATCTTAAAAAAAAAATTCTCCTGTTGAGAAGGTAAAATCCTGAGGATTATTAACAATGACAATGATGAAGGTTCTCAAACCATTCCCCAAGTTTCATACACTAAGACAAAGGAACCAAGTACTATACGTACAGTACTGTACTTAATACTAGTTAAACCTCATTACCTTTGTGACCTAACTTCAGTTTCAAATTAGCATTTCCAAACCAAAACAAACTGTTGGTTTCTTTTATGCAGTAACAGAGCCTGACTGCTATATTCCAACTTGCAATTAATATGGAACAGCAATTTTAATAAAGTTACCAAGATTAGGGATGTTTTTGTTCTAAATTGTATGATTAATTAATTATCAAAGTGGTTTTATGTTGAAAGCAAAGTTAAGAGCAGAGCAAAGGGGATTCGGCCAAGTATTTGGAGGGCCATTTTTATTTTGGTCCTGGAAAAAGTAGTGTTATTATGTTCTCAGGATGTTTTGGCTCTTATCAGCAATATTAGATTTGAAGTAGTACAGTACACTTGTGTCATAAAACAATTATGAACAATAAAATTGCATAAAACATGTTGTCCCTTTTCTGTTACACTTTACTTGTAAATAAGCTATTAAACAGATTCATCAGATTAAATAGGCATTAAGTAATGGGGACAAAGTTTAGGGGGTTGCTCCAGGATAGAGTTAAAATTGCTGGCATTAGTCATTCTGTGTTCAGGAGATCCCAAGGAAGTATTTAGCAAAGTTTCAGCCATATGTTCTTCACTCAGATACAAAACCCGGCAGCAACACATTCTGGAGACGTCAGGTGTAGGTATTTTCTAAGTAGCCGGCTACTTAGTGATGACCTGTGCATTCAATTGGACATGGAGGTCAATTGAAAAACACGGGCTATGTGATCACCGCACTTGTATAGTCATGACTACACACTGTTCATAGTCTAGTCACCGTGGGCGATGTAATTATATAAATATACGTAATGTAAATGTAGTCCAAATTCATATAAGTATTACTGTCTGGCAAGGGAGGTATGAATAGTCTGACTTGCAGTCGGAAACTGCCAAGATCAAACCATCTTCCACATTTACGTCATAACAAAGTTGTTCAAGATGAGAGGTTAACCTATCTTTGGGTTTTGGCCTAGTGAGCCTGAAGCCTCCTCACTGACTCTTGAAGTAATCACTAAACTAGGAATCTGAAACTGCTCACATTCTAGCTCATTAGACAAATAGGTAATTGTTTTACAGTACAGTACAGTACACTACACTACTGTACACTAATTAAAGCAGCATTATGTGTTCCTAGTATATAACAAGTACTGACAGGGATGGGGGTGGTTGTTTTAGTGGATTCGGTTGTAACATTAATAAAAAGCCAGTTATAATATTGCTGAACCTTCAGTTAAGATAAGGGATAAATATAATGTCTAACCTCTTTTTCAGGGAGATTTAACCAGGCCCGCGAAGACAACTCCCTAAAGTCAGTCAACCAGTGTCCACAGGTTAGCTTGTAGATGGCAGGAATTTCCGGGGTCTGCATTGCCTCAGCTATCAGGTTGCGTAAACATTCACATTTGTTGTGTTTCAGTACCTGATAATAAAATTTTAATGTAATTCTGCTTCTTATATCATATCAAGGAGACAATAAATTTTGGCCACCCTTAAAGCACAACCTGAGCCTAAGTGAAAAATATGTCTGATAATGTTAACCTGATTCATCTTATTTTTGGCTGATGACCCTTAAAATTTTATCTTTATACAATATCACAGGATTCATTTCTTTCGCCCTTTCATGATAACTATAAACTGGAAACATCTTAAAAAATGAGGAATGAGCAATAAAATGACGCAGCCGAAAAAAACAAAACAGACAAACTACGTTGACGTTTGCCTAACCTCGCCTTAGAATGACATACATACAATTATGTTTGGCTGTATCCAACTTAACAACATTCTAAACTGATAGAGAAAAATAGGCTCAGGAAACCAAATAACACACAAAAATATATACTGTATACAGATATTTATACAGGGGTATTTAATTAACAGTCAGTGGAGGGATGTGAATCAACATTTTCACATTCTCTAAAGACTTCATATATACCTGTACAAAGTCATCTCTCAATTTACATGGTATAATCACGTTCTTTAGAAAAGCCGTGTAAATCAAACTTAATAATCCCACAAGAAATAAAGGAAATGTTCAGCTATTTCCTTCAATATGTTTTATTTACGATAATATAATAACAATAATAATAATACAATAATAGAAGCAAACCAAGTGGTGGTGGAGGAGAGGTGGGGTGTTACTGGGGGAGGGAGTCATCTGAATCAGATGACAGTGCAGGTCATGGGGGGAAGAGAGGTGCGAGCTTTAGAGATGCCAGATGTCAATGGCTGAGGTTCAGGTGATGTTACTTTTTCCTTTTTCGTAAACTGGGAAAACTATGAGGTACATACTGAACTATACTGCCTGGCACTTTGGCGCTCTTTACAAAACCATGCTATTTAAAAAAATAACTTTCTTAAAAATAGATACTGTATTAACTTAATACTAGTGTTATTTAAAAAAACTTGTAAATTAAATTCGTGTAAATTGAGAGGTGACTGATTGATCTAAATGATTTATTTACTTTTATCCTCTTCACCACCGATTGGCTCGTTAGCCGCTTGGTCACGTCTCTGAATACTTTTCCTTTTTTTTTATCCTCTGAATACTTTTCCTTTTTTTTATCCTCTTCACCAAAAGATCGGTTCGTTAGCCGCTTGGGCGATCAGTCACGTCTCTGTTACCCACTGTTGGCAAGTACTGGGCATGCACCGGCTCCTAAATGTACCTGAACCCGCTCCAGTGTTGGTCAAGTCTTGTCTTGAAAGAGCTCACACTCGGTGCCGTCACAACACTTTCTGGTAGATTGTTCCAAGAGTTCATAACTCTCATTCCGAAAAAGTTAGCCCTCACAGTTTTCTGGACTTGCGGCTTCTTCAATCTTGAGCTGTGACCCCTTGTGGGGCGAGCATAAGCCAGCTCCAAGTAAGGACACTCGACTGAGTAGTGCCTCTTGAGATGCTTATACACCTCAATTAGGTCACCCCTTGCCCGTCTGTAGTATAAGCTAGGTGATTTATTAGCTGTCATGTTTATTCCACCCAGACTCATCAAAGTCTAATCAGTTCATTTACCAAATCAATCTACCTTCTATACAAAGTTTTAACTATAAATACAGTACAGTAATTAAAAACTGTAATTTATATCATCAACGTTGCTGAACCATTTAAAGCTAAAATACTGTAATGACCTTGTGTAAAACTCTCAAGATTTAAGTCTTCAATAAAAGTAGAAGCAGAGGAGTGTACATTGATCATAAAAATAGTAGTTTATTCAATCCAGATTGTTTTATGGTGGGATGACAAACAACAGTAAGAGTTGTGAATCCTTGGAACAATCTGCCAGGGAGTGTTGAGACAGCACCTAGTGGGAACTAATTCAAGACCAGACTTGACCAACACTGGTGAAGGTAAAGATATATTCATGAACCAATGCATGCTCAGTATACTTGCCAACAGTGAATAACAGAGATGTGACCGATCACTTAAGCAGTTAACAAGCAGATTAGTGGCATAGAAATACAGTAAATGTAAAGACAATAAATAATTTGAGAAATAATTTTGAGGTTGAAATATTTTGTATTGAATAAAATATAATATTTATCAAGGTAACTAGCAAGCAAAAGTACAAACAAAAATTTTGGGTTGGAGAGAGAAATGGAAACGGCAAGAGCCTATTGAACATAATGGAGTGCGCTTGTGTATTACAGACACCTTTTCAATTTAACTCTTGAACAAATTCGTAGTACTGTAAAGTATATATTACATAAATATGCTTTGTAGTCTTCTGTAACATATTACTGTGGATGGAAGGTTTAAGAAATACATGTACAGTACTAAACACTAAAGTAAAAAGGGAATTATGTAAGGTTGCAGGATTCTTGTCATGAGAAAAACAACAAAGTAAGCCTGACTTTCACAATGATACAAGACATCTGTGCACACTTGTAGAAGCTGCACTGAGGAAAACAGACATCAAAAGCACAAGTATGAGGTAAAATATGTGATAAAATGAAGACTACAGTGCAAGGTTGTCAAACTTCTTGAAAGAGAAAATAGTGTTATGAAAATGTATAGATAACAAGACAGTGTATGTCTTAAGTCGAGAGCCACAATTGAAGGATGGGTGCAGATACAGTACATGGCGAGGATAATGTTCGGACCACCCAGGTGTGCAGTGTAAGAGGATAATGTTCAGACCACCCAGGTGTGCAGTGTAAGAGGATAATGTTCGGACCACCCAGGTGTGCAGTGTAAGAGTGTGTAAAGGACAGAAACAACTGTGGCACATTCTTTTACCCTCATTTTGAAGGGACATCGCTGAGTTCCTCTAAGACATGTGGCAAGGGTCTCCAGTGTCAGTGTCAATACCTCCAATTCATCTTGTCGCAACTGTAGTTCTTCCTCAACATTTCTTGATCTCTGACTATTACTTGAAAGTTTCATGTACTTCTTTATGAAGTTGTACATAATATTGATAATGCCAGGATCCTGAAGGGGTGAAGCGAGATTCATCACATGTATTATTTTCTTTTAAAAAATACTTGACGATTAGGAACAGAATACAAAAGTACGGTATATAACTTAATTTTGACAAGTACCATGTATTATCACAGAAATTAATAAAAATATTGCCACACAGACCACATCATGAAATATATTGAGAACATGAGAGACAACAGACCCTCCAGACAAGTCTCCTGATGGTGGTGTACTTTGTCGCTCCATGCTGTAATTCTTGCAGGATGGAAAACTGAACTTCCAGAGATGAAGCTGCTAAAAGTTCTGATCGCAGCTGACCAAAGGCATGGTCCAACGAATGTTCACGAGAAACTTCCTGGAACACAGGACGTAGCCTCCTCGGCTTTTGGGTTTGTATCTGTAGTCAAATGCATTAAGAGAGACATTAGAATTCATTACATCCACAACTATTGTACATACAGTATTTCATAAATATTTCAAGTATACAGATACTGTATAGTATATACAATTATCATCATCATATGCATATTAGAAAACCGAGCCAAAATTTCTAGAATTCTTGAAAAGATTTAAATTAATTTACCTAAAATTTAAAACAAATATTTGTGTGGCTTAAAAATTGCAGCAAAATCCACAAGCCAACTTAAAAAAAAAATAGTGAATGTTTGAGAAATATTTTTTATTCTTGTGCTAAAGTTTACTCCTATAATTATTAACTATGGCAATACACTACAAGTATATAGTTCTTTAACTGTATTTTGATCCTCTTCACCACTGATCGGCTCATTAGCCGCTTGGGCGATCTGTCACATCTCTGTTACGCACTGTTGGCAAGTACTGGGCATGCACCAGCTCCTGAATGTATCTGAACCTGCTCCAGTGTTGGTCAAGTCTGGACTCGAAAGAGCTCACACTCGGTGCCGTCACAACACTTTCTGGCAGATTGTTCCAAGATGCCCTCACAGATTTCTGGACCTGCGGCGTCTTCAACCTTGAGCTGTGACCCCTTGTGGGGAGAGTGCCCGCCAGCTCCGGGTAAGGACACTCGACCGAGTAGTGCCCCTTGAGATGCTTACACACCTCAATTAGGTCCCCCCTTGCCCATCTGTAGTATAAGCTCGGCAAGTTCAGGCACTCCTATCTCTCAGGGTAGTTGAGGTGCCGAAGTGCAGGCACCAGTCTGGTGGCTCTCCTTTGAATATTTTCTATCAACTGACAGGGTGACAGTACTCCAGATGGGGAAGCACTTCACTCTTGAAGACCGTTACGAGGGATGGACCGTATAGGTACCTGAACGACCATCGTATAAGACCTAATAATTTATTTGCCTGATTTACCTTCTCGCAATGGCCCGAGAACTTCAGCTCATTGTCAACATACACACCTAGGTCCTTCTCACATTCAGTCTCAAATAGTGCCGTTTCTTCATCCCGTTGGGACATATGATACGCCTCCTTACCGTTGGTATGCCCCAGGTGCATCTTCTTACACTTCTTGACACTGAATCTCAGCAGCCATTTCTTCAACCATTCTTGGAGCCCGCAGAGATCCTTCTGCAGCTCTTCACAGTCTGCTTGGTTCTTGATTTCCCGAAATAACTTGGCATTATCCGCAAACATTTGTATGGAGGAATGTACAGATTCAGGCATGTCATTTATGAAACAAACTAATAACAGCGGGCCCATTAACCTCCAGACAAAGATAACAACAGCCTTTCAAGGACAATAAGCAGATGGACTAATAACTAGGGGTGAAGAGGATGAAAAAAAAAGGGGGTCTGCTTCACTGAATATTTTTTATGAAAACATGAACAAACAACCAAATACTTTCTCCAACAGCTGAGCTTCCCAGAGCAAACTATAGTGCGCTTTTCCACAGCTGACAAGAGAGGCCCTGCCCTCTCCTCAAGAATTACAGCTGATTGGCTGTTGCAAATCTGCCGATTTCATCCTGAAGTAATTTTGTACAGTATTTCTGAACCAGTTTATTCATAATCGTTGGGATGACCGTTTTTGATGAGAAAGATATTTTACTAAATTATATAAAGATACATACATTCATTATTTCAAACATGAGTACATGGGAAGTTTTCAGAAATGTTACATGAATTAACTGTTAAACTTTGGTAGAAAGTTGACGCTTTCAGAGGACGCATTAATATAGTATATTTATTTTTACCCACAATAAGGCATACCAAGACAAATTACATATCAGTAATATACTTAAATATGCAAAAACTAACATTTTAAAAGATCGGAATCACATTGAAATATTACACGGCCGTCAGCAGAGGCGAGAAATATGACTGTGAACAACTTCATATTTTCCGCCTCTGCTGATGGTTAGAGTGGCCAAGGTTCCCAGTCTGTCACTCTCATCCACCAACTTTCAGAGGCCGTGTAATATTTCAATGTGATCCTGATCTTTTAAAAAGCTAGTGTTTGCATTTTGTAGTATTATTGACATGTAATTTGTGTCCTCTGAAAGTGTCAATTTCCTACCAAAGTTTAACAGTTAATTCATGTAAGATTTCTGATAAATTTCCTTTGTACTCATGTTTGAAATAATGAATGTATATATCTTTGTGTAATTTAGCTAAACATATTTCTCGTCAAAAACGGTCAATGTGAATAAACTCGTTTAGAAATACTGTACATCTTTACTTCAGGACGAAATTGGACAGATTTGTAACAGCCAATCAGCTGTAACTCTTGAGGAGGAGGAGAGGCATCTTTTCTCACCTGGGAAAAAATGCACTCTAGTTGATGTGAGACAGTACCTTCAGCACAGATTTGATCAATATTTTCCAAACATGTGACAATTAAATTTCAGCTCCATATAGCTTTCCAAAATTTAAGATGAATTATGATATGATGTACCGGGAAAATGCAGTATTTCACCTTTTGAAACAAGACACGTTTTACCTTTAACCCTTAGGCCCCGGGTGACGTTCCAGAACGTCCAACTTGCGTGTCCCAGGTGACGTTCTGCCTATTTTCCCGCCATTTTTTTTTTTATTTATGTTTTTATATATTTTATATATATATATATATATATATACATTTTTTTTTGTTGAAAAGTTGAGTTTTTTCACGATTTAACCCCATGGGGGGTTACTGCCAGCAGCACCCTAACCCGGGGCTTAAGGGTTAAAATTTGTTGGGTATAGTGTACAAATAGTTTAAGATCTAATAATTTCTTACATAAGCTTGGGGGTTGTATTTACAAGAGGCTACCCTAAATACTGTTTAGCTCAGATGTACAGTACCAGAGCTTGAATCTTTCATCGCAGTAGGCCTTATCCTCATCTATTATGTATGACAGTGGAAGGAACTTACCAGGGAGGAGGAGACCCACAGTGAGTGGAGGAGGTGAAAGAGCAGGGTAGAAGTGGAAAGAGTGTACAGGTGGACTTCATTCTCATCCTCTTTACTGTCTGTAACGTCTGCTAAGTTGAGACTCTGACTTCGTCTTGGTGGATGCCTGAGTAGGAAATACAGTATTATTCTGAATGAAATATGAAAAATGCTTGCATGATGCTAGTGATCATTAATGCAGATGTGCTGGTCTATTCACTCAAGTTTTAAGGAGTTTATCAAAATAGTATATCTGTATTTCAATCCTCCCCAAAGCATTGTTTAGGGGGGGGGGGGGTTCTTCAGGTTGAGCAGGCTAGGGTGGAAAATCTTCAGGCAAGGTTCGAACAATGTGCGTGGAATGTGTGACCTTGACCTAACCTGTATAGCTAATGCACACTCAAAATAACCTGATCTTAAGTTAGGTTAGGTGGAGTGGGATGGGGTAAAGAACCTTCAGGTGGACACTTGGGGGGGGGTTATTCTCCAAACATTTTCTTTCATCTTTCATGTTTTGGGATTTTAAAGAGTTCTCTAACAACCAAAGTGGTTACTGGCACACTCATGACTCTGAAGCTGTAACGAGCAGTCCAGTGACCTTGGTTGACCCACCACAACTAGCTTCAGGGACACCCTTTCTTGCACAATATGGCACTAAACCTGACTGCAGTATTATGTGCTTGATCATGGAGCAGCTTCTCAGGGTGCTAACCCTGAGTTCAGGCTCCTGTACTTTCAAGAAGAAGCACTAGCCTATGAAATACTCACCCAGTACCCTCTGTGCAGGCAGTGCACCAGCCTAGAAAATGTAAGAGAGACCAGGCGATGGGCACAGCTTTGGGTGACCCGGTTGCTGTCAGGAATGTTACAACAAAGTTTTACAGCTGGATGTCCTCCTCAATGCTTACCCACACGGTGGGAACAGCTGGTTAGACTAGGTCATAACTCCTTGAGGTAATCTAAAACTACCCACCTACCTATATGTATATAAACTGTACAGTATATCTTAATTTTGAATTTTTACCAGACACATCAGGAATTAACTTACCCAGTTGATGGTTTGTCTAGGACACTCTTGCTCCTGGTGGGGATGTCCAAGCCTAGAGGAGAGGATCTGTGGTAGGTCTCGAGGGCACTAAGTGAACGGGGCATCTTTGAGCGAGGCAACATATCCGGGGTCAAGGAGCGCACAATCTGCCCACCTGAAATCATAACACCACCACAAATTTTTTTTTTAATTATTAAAATGGAGAATCCATGGGTCTGTGGTGTGGTTATAATTTGGAAACAAACTTTTTCATTTTCTATATAAAAGATATTAAAAGTTTATTTTGCAGTAATACAGTATACAGTTGCTCCTCTACTTAAGAACGTTCAACTTACAAACTTTCAGAGATACAAACATCATCACTGAGGGGGGGTTACCTGCCAGAACAGGCATTTAATGTTGATGAGACTGGATTATTTTGAAGAAACTTCCAGATAGAACAAACATTACCTAAGAGGAGAAGAGTGAGCCAGGCTTTAAGGCTGTATTAAAGGGTATAGCTGTACTAAATATCCATAATCTTTTCATTTTTTACAATACGTTTGGTATCTACAAGAGTAAAGTTGGATTTACAAACAAGCCTCAGGAACGTAACTCGTTCGTACGTAGAGGAGCACCTATAAAATATAAAATTTAATTCATGACTATGAGCAAACAAAACTGGCACTCATATGGAATGCTTATCTGTAACTAAAAACAAAGTACTGTAGTACAATATTGAAACTTTCAATCTTTATTATTCATGTATACATGTACTCTACAGAAGAAAAGTACAGTAGTGAAGTAAATATACGAAAGTAATTTCTAGAAATTACATCAATTGGAAATAATTTGACTAACTTAAGTACTGCTACATTGAACTAATGTGGGTACAGTACATTTTTACCAAAGTTTGTAAACTAAAAGGTATTTTTCTCAATCATATGGAAAATTTCCTTGGTTCAGTCAACCAATCTGAAGAGGAGGTTAAAAGTGCAGGAATTCAAAGTAGCCAATCACACGCTTTTATTGTTAGCCTATCACTGGCATCACCCATAGGCCCACAACACAGCTAACAATTCAGTGTGTTGCTATTCCTTGGATTTTTTTTCAGGTAAAGTATTAATTTTTTTCACTATACGGTATCTATTTTTTTTTTTTTTGCTCCAACCTTGGGAGCGAAAGTGGTAAAGAAAAAATCCTACATTCATTCCTCGTGTTGAAGACAATCGTGTCATACCTACTGGGTAGTCAAATAATATTTAGGGTTTAGGGGTACATAATATAACTTTATACACAACTATCATACTGTACAGGCACTAAAATTATACTTTACTTTATTTTTATTGTACAGTTGTCACAGGTACAGTATAGTGTTCCACCCCTTGGTGGTCTCTTTGAACATGTGGCTAACGATATATTTTGGGGGTAATATTTGTACAGTACTCGAGATCATGCTACGCAATATGATAGACGTAATATCTCTGAAGAAGGTTCGACCATGATTCCGACACTGTCACATGTTTGTAAAGACCACTAAGGGGTGGAACACTGTACTGTACTGTACTGTATACGGTACCTATTTAGGATTCTTACCCCGACTGAGAAGATCAGCTATAGTGGGTGTATGGGAGCGATCATCAAATGTACTATCAGCATCTGGAGACCGAGACCTGACTGGCGATTTGGCACCGTTTAAAGAAGACAGGAGTTTGTTATTGGTTGGTAATGTTAGGTGGGAGGAGCAAGTGCTGGCCGACATAGCTCCATTACTCCTGCTTCTGGAAAATAATAACAGTGGGGAGATATTATTACCAGTTTGGATTTGTAAAGATAAGTTTACAAGTTCTTGTGATTACTGTTTGTTAGTCAAGAGCACACCACCACAGTACTGAAAATTTTCTGCTAAACTAATTATATTGTTTTTTGTTTTTCTTCTATCACATATATTATATAAACTTAAGTAACAAATTACTCACTCCTTGTTTCCATTTGAAAAGTTATAATTTCATAGCTTATGGAATAACAACAAAATTAATGATCTGCAAGATACCTCCACAAGAACTACTCTGACAGAGCTTGCCATGGCTTGGGGCTTGATGTGTTCTAGTGGCTCGCTGCACTGTCCTTTCAGTAGATAATGTTACTTAGGGTTAGAGAGATAGTTTGGACTCTCATCTTGATGGCTGCTTGAGAGCTATTGAAGCTTCAAGTTCATCAGGCCAAAACCCTAAGATTGTGCATTCCTGTCTAGAACCCGTAATGGGCCAAACATAAGGACTCCTTTATTTCTGCACTCCAGCCAATTTGACTTTCTGGACAGTTCTTTGCCATTCTTGAGTGGACTAATTGGAAAAAAAATTTCAATCTCACATGCTGCCCTTTTAATACTGGACAGTACTGTACACTATGTGTCTGACAATGCGCAAGTTTCTTGCACAAGCTTTTCTCTGCATTCAGTGTATACAGCACTTCACTGTATAAGAGTGAACAGTATCAAGTGAAACAGCTTACCTGCCAACTTAAATTTATTCACTGTGCAACTGTTTATTGTTTTGTAAATGACTCTTATGGATACCAGATGGTATCTCAGAAATGTACTGTACTGTACATGAAACTCCTAGTGCAGTGTCCTGGTGATGCCATGCAATTCAGTTCAAGTTATTAATTGTTAAATTGGCCAAAGATTATATTACAGGTTGACAATCCCTTACCCGAAATCCTTGGGGCCAGAGGCATTTCGGATTTCGGAATTTTTCGGTTTTCAGAATGGTTACGATATTTTTTTTTTTTTGCCCACCTTGGCACAAGCCAGACCGAAATTGGGGCCTGGGGAGCGAAAATATAATCATAATCATAATAATAATAATAATAATAATAATAATAATACAGTGGGGTATGCTATAACGAACGGATCCTACTACGAATATTCCTATAACAAACGGTTTTACCTATAAAATTGAGAATGCTATAACGAACGAAACTCCTACAACGAACATTATTTAAATTTTTTTTTTCACTAATTTATTGATTTTTATTACAAGTATTAATGATATTCTTTATTTCAGGGGTTTAGATGCATATGTATGCACTTTTTTACAATTTTTACAATTTTATATTATATTTTTCAGTGTTAAGTAGTTGTATTTGGGGGCCTGGAACGAGCGAATCCTATAACGAACGAATGCTATAACGAACAAGGTTCTAGAACCAATTAGATTCGTTATAGCATACCCCACTGTAATAATAATAATTCATAGGTCTAGATCGTGTTTCTCACTTTTTATCTTTTTTCATTCTTGTATTGCTTTATTATTATTATTATTGTTATTTCATTAATACAGTATTATTGTTATTATTATTATTATTATTATTATTATAAATTTTGTTATATTTTATTATTATTGTTATCATTATTATTTTATTTTTGTGTATTTTTTTAATTAAAAATTTTATTTACTATGAATAATTATTATTATAATTATTATTATTATAATCAGTATTACCTGTACTATTACATTTTTGCCCCTCAGGCCCCGATGTGGGTCAGTGATCTATGCCTGGGTGGGCTAATCCCTGTTTAAAAAAAAAAAAAAAAAAATTGCTCCACCAAAAAAAATTCGGTTTTCGGAATTTCGGATAAAGGGTTGTCAACCTGTATATGCTTCCACGGTTTCAGTCAGAGAAACTTATGAACTTATATAAGAAGACGTGACTGACCGCCAAAGCAGCTAACAGACCAATCAGTGGCAAAGAGGATAAAATAAACCACTGGTATCACTACAGATTATTAAACAAGTGTGATGGAGTGAGGTATGGAAAAGTTGGCATACTAGTCTTAGATGGTGACTTGAATGCATCAAACTTTTATTTTTTTTCCATGTTCACCATTTACAAACTTGCTAGTCATTCGGGCAGTTGGTCAATTCACTGGTTTCAGGTTCCACTCTCTGTTAATATACATGTACATGTATACTGTATTTCAGCTTCATACAAAAGTGGCATTTTAGTTTGCTATTGATATGAATTCTCTCGCACACATTCAGGTTTATCAAAATCCTCATAAAATCTTGTATCAAGTGTCAGTACCTTTCCCCTATGTCAAAAATAAGTTAACTATTTGGAAGTTCCCATGCACGGAAACTATTGTACATACTACGAAAAATAGGTTTTTAAAATACATTTTATTGTGTTTCATATGAATTTAACTTTCATTTCCATTGGAAATGAGTTCGATAGCAGGGACGGATCCAGGGGGGTCCTGAGGTTCCGGACCCCACCTTTTCATCAGAAAATTACAATACTTTTTCTTTAATGCAGTATTGTAGTACGTAGGAATTTTTGTACAGGAAAAAGTAATTAATATTGACCTCAGTATATTTCCTAATATCCAGTGTACATGGCCTCAAAATGCCCATGATATTGGTCAAATTTAAAAAAAAATTATGGGGGAGCTTACAGTGCCCCCCCCCCCCTCCAACCCCCCAGCTGGGTAGGCTTGCTGTGCTTGCCTGTTCCCCCACCCACAACTTGCTGGATCTGCCCCTGGATAATTATCAAGATGACACCCCTCCCCCAATTACCAAAAATGCACAAAGTGGACAGGGCTTTCCAGTAGAGGGAAATTGTGGGATGATGCTAATAACAAGTAACTATGATAACTATGTTTTTCCTTCAGCATTTGCATTTCCAATTACTACAATGTCAAATTTATCGACCCCTGAATCAACTTTCATCCATGGATTATTATGTCAAAATTTCCTAAATTGTTTTGTGATCTGAAGGCACTTGAAGTCTTAGTAATACATTTAGTTGGTAGTTTTACAGACATTACATTATTAGTATTAAAAACACTACTTATACAGTACAGTACCTTGATATTACCAGTCAAAATTTGTGTTAAAACTAATGTTTTTATTTACTCACTTGTAACAATATGGAACTTATTCTCTATAGAAAAAACTATGACTTACCGAATCAAGGGTAAACTGTCAGTACTTGTGATAGAGAGTGAACCCATGGTCAGCCTGGGGGATGGCAGAGGGTCACTGCACACACTGGCGGCTTCGTGGGCAGCCTCGGCCAGGGCGCGGGCAGCGCTTGTGTAGGAACTGGGACCATCATATTCATGCTCTTGATCCTCATTCTCTTCATCAATGGACGAGGTACTGTTTAATACATGACAAAAATTAAGCATAAAACTCTGTCAGTATAGAGTGACAAATTGAATGAAGTACTCAAGGTTGGTATTCACAGATTTTGCTATTATAGTTGAGCGATAAAAATAAAAATATGGAGCAGTGAAGAGCACATGATAAGTTATATAAAAGGTAATGGCAGGAAGACAGATGGTAAGGCGAGGGGCACAAACATGCGATTTTGTCAACAGGACCTGTGGGGCAGGAGAGAAGGGTAGTAACAAAGGGCACTGTTGACTTGCATTATCATTTATACCACACGGCATAAAACATGACAAAACTTGATATTTAATTTATCTAATAAAGTTGCGTATCATAGGTCTGACAGCCCGTTAGGGACAGTGCAGTTACAGCCCACTTAGCCTTCGCAACACAAGAAAGCAGTATTTCTGGCACTGCATTCAATTAGTTTCATTTTCCCTAATTATAAAGTCAGGAAACCATTAGGATAGGATAGTACAGTACAGTATTGTCAACATTAGCATTATTAGTCCATCACAAGTAGGTGTGGTATAACATTACTAAAATTAGTGGTACTGTAGTTCTTTCGTGAGATATCTTGTTTCTGGGTCAATGGTTAAGTGTGTGTGTATGGGGTGGGGAAGGTGGCATTCAAATAAGAAACCTGGACTGAATATATGACTGACAGTGCAGTATAAGGAATAACAAATATAATTCGTAAATAAAGGTGGTAAACAATTTAAATATGCATATTATATAAAATGGATGAGACGAACAGTACTGTACAGCAAAAAAAAATACTAGATGCAAAGATGTGGTAGCAAAATTAAATGTAAAGTCTCCTCCCATGAGGAAGAATGACAAAAACTGAAATAAAAGATAAATAGTAAGAGAAAAAGAACCTCATCCACTGGCCTACATACCTGGGTTGTGGGCAGCTGGCTGGACCTTGATTAGGGGGCCTGACGAGAGAGGAGCGACGGGCAAGTCGGTACCGCACTAAAATGTGGGTTGTCTGGTCCCGAACACCTCCATGCAGGAACTCTGGCAGGTCGTGTACCTGTACAGAAAAGATAATTATTTTCTTAAAATGGGGCATCTATTCATCTTGAAGATATAAGTTTTTCACCTTAACTAATGGATAAATGTATATATTTCTGAAGGTAAATAAGAGGAGGATATTTATTTTGAAATTTTATTTAGCCAGAAAAATACAGATAGAGAGGATAATAATAGCAATATTGACATGGCTGAGCCAAATGAAAGCCTGAGCCCTCTTAGTGGCACCTGATATATGGTACTTATACCCTGATATTACCAGTCACACTTATTGTATCACAATTTAATACAACTGTTTTTTGTTTATTCTCACTTGTAACATGGAACTTATTCTCTTAAGAACTAGTCTTATCAAATCAAGGGTAAAGTATCAGCTGCTTCCTTCAATTTATATATGGGAAAATCTTGCTGAGAGACCTCTGATGTTAAAAGTGAGAAATGCAGAATAGAGTTTGAAATGTATATGAATTCTTGTACTGTATGTTATTATTAGATGGAAAAACATCTTAAAAAGGGAAACATCAAGAGGTAGAACACATCACATTTCTTGGATGAACAATATTATCAGCCAAGATTTACCATATGTTCTTGACTAGTTTTGTATCAGCCCTCAAAATTCAGGGTCACATCTCACAATGGCCAAGAAATTGCGTTCGTTACTTTGTCACTTGAGGCAACGTTACACCCACTTACTATACAGATGACAGATTACACCCATCTAACTACACAGACAAAAGCCAACCTGTTAGAAGAACGGGTAATGGTTCACGGAGAGGGGGACCAATAAATAGGCATTTTTTTTTTTACGGGATTAGCCTGTGGGGTAGTGTGGTATTTGGTTCGAGACTCAGGATGGGATGGAGAAAGGAAACTCACAATGTGCTCACTGTATACATATTGTGTTGGATGTACAATACAGCTTGGTGCTGGGAAGTGGCAGCGTGGTTACAAGCGTGATGTAGAGAGAGCTGGTTGGTGAGGGTGCTTAGAGGAGGACCAGCTTGTGGGTCGCCATGCTCGCCGGCGGGAGCGAGGGCCGCCAGGCAGCGGCGGAGGAGGTGGTGTTGCTTGCTGGTTGGTGTAGGTAGAAAAGAAAGTGGTCACCACGAGGTCAGTTCTTTTATAGCGGAGGTAGGCGTGGGTAGATAGTTGACCCCCGCTCCGTGGGCGGCGCTGGTTGACCTAGACCACGAGGCACACACTGTGGAATTCGCGGGGTCGGCTACTCAGCGACAAACAGCGTTTGTAGGGGAGAAATCCACTACAATATTCCCTCCTTCCCTCCAGGCGGTGTAGGAGACTTGTTGTCTGCAGGGGTGCATGGCACATGTGAGGCAGAACGGGCGGTGCATGCCACATGTGAGGCAGAACGGGCGGTGCATGCCACATGTGAGCCATAACGGCGAAGGTGTGGATGAGCCGGCCGCTAGAGGAGACAACTGTCTAGATACACAATATCTGTGGGAGTACAGAGGGAGAAAAAGGGTGTGTGGAGGCGATGAATGTTGTGCTTCTCTCACGGCAGGTACAGAGTCGTCAGATGCGCCTGTTGGGGTGTGTGGGCCTGGGTCAGGAGCAGGTGCTGCGTCAGCGGAAGCGGATGAGGGCTCGTGACAGCAGCTGGGTCCACGACAGCAGCAGGGTGCAGGACAGTAGCAGGGAGAACCTGAAGGAGAAAAGAGGGGTATGTGGGTCTGCACTCAGGCGCATGGGCCGCGTCGGGAGCAGGGGCTGCATCAGGAGGAGCGTCAGGGGGTACTGCTGGGCCGGGGGCAGCGTCTGAGGCAGGACGGGTGTGCTGGGGTCGGTAGGACTTGGTGCTTGGGGCAGGAAGAGGAGCTGGTGTCTGCTTAGAGAAGCAGTGCTGCTCTAGGGTGTCTAACCTGCGGTGTAGAGACAGTAGCTGTAGAGCCGATGAGAGCTGCCTCTGGGTGGATGAGCCAGTCTTCCATGTTGCTTGAAGACTGGGAGAGTGATCGGTTTCTCCTCCATCCTGTGTGAGTGCGAATCTCCGGGGGTCACCATTTGTGGGGTAGTGTGGTATTTGGTTCGAGACTCAGGATGGGATGGAGAAAGGAAACTCACAATGTGCTCACTGTATACATATTGTATTGGATGTACAATGCAGCTTGGTGCTGGGAAGTGGCAGCGTGGTTACAAGCGTGATGTAGAGAGAGCTGGTTGGTGAGGGTGCTCAGAGGAGGACCAGCTTGTGGGTCGCCATGCTCGCCGGCGGGAGCGAGGGCCGCCAGGCAGCGGCGGAGGAGGAGGTGTTGCTTGCTGGTTGGTGTAGGTAGAAAAGAGGGCGGTCACCACGAGGTCAGGTCTTTTATAGCGGAGGTAGGCGTGGGTAGATAGTTGACCCCCGCTCCGTGGGCGGCGCTGGTTGACCTAGACCACGAGGCACACACTGTGGAATTCGCGGGGTCGGCTACTCAGCGACAAATAGCGTTTGTAGGGGAGAAATCCACAAGCCCACCAGGACACAGGTCAATGACCCACATCAGGGCCTTGGGGGCGAAAATATAATGATAATGACAACAATAACAACATGTTATGTTGTCAAAGTAAGAGACACAATTGAAACCCTGTAATTGTGAGTAAACGAGGCAGAAATTCAGATCAGCAACCTGGGACTAGGTCACAATTTTTGTGATGCCATATGGCAGCAGGGTCTACCATTAGGCAATACATTATGATTCCAATATCTTCCCAGGCGGTAGTACCTCCCTGTTTGATATTTAGGAACATAAGAATGGAGGAAATTGCAGTGGGCCTATTGTCCCAAACTGGGCAGTCACCTTTACACCCAACCCCTATCGCTCATATATCCATCCAACCTATATTTGAAGCTATCCAAGTTCAATGTTTCTACAATCATGCACACAGTTTTAGGCCTCGCTTGTTTCAGCCCCATACATGTTTTTGGGCATGTGGGCTTCAGCCCCACAGACGTTTTAGGATAGTCCAGTTTCAGTCCCACAAATGTTTTAGGACATACGAATTTCAGCTCCACTTGTCCCCAAAAGGTCTGGCATCGCATGCACTACCCTCGTTAAATTAGGTTAGGTTATGGTACAGGTAGCCCTGAGAACGGGTAGCCATTGGGACTGGTAGCCCTAGACAAGGGTAGCTGTGGAGATAGGTGATAAGCTGACTCGATGAAAAGTTGGCTTGGAATATTAAATGTCTTGGAGAGAGTGGTCACCTTGGAGGGAGAGGCCACCTTGGAGGGAGAGGCCACCTTGGAGGGGGAGGCCACCTTGGAGGGAGAGGCCACCTTGGAGGGAGAGGACACCTTGGAGGGAGTGGTCACCTTGGAGGGAAAGACCACCTTGGAGGGAAAGGTCACCTACAGAAAAAAAAATATATACTCCGAGGGAAAGATGCCCAAGACGACAGGTGGGTGGGGGAGGGGTAGCAGCAAGGTGGTGGAATAGCATAATGTGCCCGCTATCTTCGTCCTCTATTGACCGTCACTTACTGGGTAATGAGGAGTCGATAAGGTCATCAAGACTGGCCTGTCCCTCCTCCCTCTCTCTCTTTACTGGCCTGTCCCTCCTCCCTCTCTCTCTTTACTGGCCTGTCCCTCCTCCCTCTCTCTCTTTACTGGCCTGTCCTCCTCCTCTTACTGGCCTGTCCTCTTTACTGGCCTGTCCCTCCTCCCCTCTTTACTGGCCTGTCCCTCCTCCCTCTTTACTGGCCTGTCCTCCTCCCCCTCTCTTTACTGGCCTGTCCTCCTCCCTCTCTCTCTCTTTACTGGCCTGTCCTCCTCCCTCTCTCTTTACTGGCCTGTCCCTCCTCCCTCTTTACTGGCCTGTCCCTCCTCCCCTCCTCTCTCTTTACTGGCCTGTCCTCCTCCCTCTCTTTACTGGCCTGTCTCTTTCTACCTCCTCCCCTCCCCTCTTTACTGGCCTGTACCTCCTCCTCTCTCTTTACTGGCCTGTCCTCTCCTCCCTCTCTTTACTGTCCTGCCTCTTTACTGTCCTGCCTCTCTTTCTACTGGCCTGTCCCTCTCTCTACTGGCCTGCCCCGTCTCTTACTCCCACACACCCTTTCTACTGGCTTTGTTGAGCTATCCTTGGTTGAATGAACTTGCTGACTATTGTATACCTGAACTATTTATATGTACAGTATCTAAAAAAAGTTCATACTCTGTAAAACATTATGAGATCACGGATGATAGATATGGAACATGTATTTACTTTAGTATATAGTTTAACATGGGTAACGCAATGTGTATTTATTTCTACGTAATTAATATGATGTTCGGTTACCAAATGTAGTAGGATTAGTATGCCACAGAGCCATGCATACCAACCCTCCCGAGACATCACGAGTTGCATATAGCATTTCAGAAGTCATCAGACCCATCCTGGAAGATGCTGTAGTGGATTCCTCCCCTACAAACGCCGTGTGTCGCTGACTAGCCGACCCTCTTCGAATTCCCCAGCCTGCGCCTCGTGGTCAAGGTAGGCAACCAGCGCCGCCGCTAACATAGTGGAGGTCAACTATCAACCCACACCTACCCCCGCTATATAAGACCTCACTCCGCCATGACCTACCTACCTCTTCCTACAGCCACCAGCAAGCAACACCTCCTCCTCCGCTCCTGCCGGCGACTATGCCGCCCTACAAGCTGCCTGTCCTCTGAGCACCCTCACCAACCAGCTCTCTCTACATCACGCTTGGACTCACGCTGCCACCCCCCAGCACCAAGCTGCATTGTACATCCAATACAATATGTATACAGAGAGCACATTGTGAGTTTCCTTTCTCCATCCCATCCTGAGTGTGAACCAATATCTCAAAACCCCACAATACTTTGAGATACTATACTGTACATTGTATAACTTCATGTACCTGCACTGTTTATGTTCAGTATTTGTATACCTGCACTGTTTATAATTATTTGTATACGTGCACTGTTTACATGTATATTTGTTTGCATATGTGCACTGTGGCCACTGTCTATATAAATATCGACAATCCTAAATAAAT